TTTATGTATGTTACCGCATAACTTTGGACCACGTCAACCGATTTCGATAATTCTTTTTGCATCGGAAAGGTAGTATCTCAGAGGTGGTCCCATAATAATCTGGTTGAGATCCGATCAGTGGATCATGAGATATATATATATATATTTTTTTTTATATGGGAGTTGAAGTCGGTTTTTTTTTTGCTAAAAATTACTAGTTCATATTAGCTAAGTATGCTTTGCGAATTTTTGTAAATTTGGGAACAATTTCTGGAGCTATAATACGTGGAAAAATTTCATTTATGCAAATGAATATGGAAACACTGAATTAGCACAAATTGCACAAACGGTAATAAAGAATGTACACGAAAAAAACTGGTCGCACATAACCAAGCATAGCTCGGTTAATCATAACATTAAAATAAAAATCGGTAGACACTTAAAAAGCTGGAAGCATTTTCCACCTTACTGCATCATTTCTTTTTAGCAACAAAAATCAGTGTAGAAACGAGGACCAAGAAAGAAATCGATCGCGAGTTAATATTGCGCAAAAAGCTGGAAAATCCCAACATGTTCCATAACGACATCGCAAAAAAGCTAAAATTTCCAAAGTCTACCGTTACTTATGTGCTTAAAAAATACAATGAATGTTTATCTTTAAAACCGAACCCTGGTAGTGGCAGAAAAAAAGGATTTGCTTGCGAAATTAAGGCAAAGGAAGTGTTATCTGCTTTTAAGAAAAATCCTGGACTTTCGGTAAGAGATGTCGGCAAAAAATTAAACATGTCGTCTTCGTATATACAAAAAGTATGCAAAACAGCAGGACTACGTTCTTACAAAGTGAATGCAGCACCTAATCGCCGATTTTAAACAAATCCGGGGCCGCGAATTTCACACTGCAAATAAAAGAGGCAATGTTGCAGATAAATATAAAAACAAAAAGTTTGACAAATTTCCCAAAAAGTTTCTCATTTGGCAGGCAATTTGCCAATGCGGCTTCAAAAGTGATCCTTTTGTAAGCACTGGTACAATTAACCAAGAAATTTATGTTAAGGAGTGTCTGCAAAAGCGACTTTTACCTCTTATACGGCTTCATAAAGATCCAGTGCTTTTTTGGCCTGATCTCGCGATATGTCATTACGGAAAAATGGCTTTAGGATGGTAACATAGAAACAAAGTGTATTTTGTAGCAAAAGAACCACCTAATTGTCCAGAGCATCGACCGATCGAAACCTACTGGGCCGTTATGAAATCCAAACTTCTTAAGACCCACAAAGCTGTAAAAAACGCGCAACAATCCAAAAATAAATGGCAGCTGGTTTCCAAGGAAATCACTGAAACTTCTGTACAAGGGCTAATGAAGGACATAAAGTCAAAATTGCGATCGTTTGCTTATTACAAGGAGAATTAACTCTTTTTTAACGAATTTCAATAAAACTAAGTTTAGATGTAAATATATGTAAATATCGTTCAATTCCATTAATATATTTATGTTTTAGAACATTTTAACTGTGACCAGTTTTTTTCGTGTACATTCTTTAAGTTTACTTATTATGCATGAAATACAAAAATTGCAATTAAATGCAGCTCACAGGAATTTTTGTTCAGCATTTTTACTCTTTTTAAATAATTTTGTTTTAATCTGAACGCTTTTTATCATACTATTATCATAAATCAGTAACAGTAAGTCTGGCCTTCAGTTTGAAAATTATTACATACCGATCAAGTAATATTCGTCAAGGTAATGTCGAAAAAAAGACAGGCATCTCTGTCTTTTTTCGTCAAAAATTTCTTTTAAATTGTATAAATAGCTTCGAAATATAAGCAAACGATTATGGAAAAGTGTGCCATGTATTGACTTGTTTCGTTCAAGTTGAATACAACGCCATATCTCCAATTGGAGAGTTCCAAGAGGATAGTGCCTCTACCAAAGGTCACTCTTTGACATAATGGAATTAACTAAAATATTTACATACATATATGTATCTAAATACTTATTGCACGCCACTACTTTCGTATAACGGAAAATTTAGAAACCGCGAAAAATGTGCTTATGCGGTGACTAATGAAACCATTCCGCTCCAATTTTCAAGAATACTTAAAAGGACTTAAAATGGCCGTTGCTAACCGAAATTTTATTTAGTTAATATATGTACTTACTTAGGTATCTAAGTGTTTGAAAGTACTATTTACTAATCAAATGATTCCTAATGTTGGACATACGTATTTAATTTCATTTACATTTTTAGAACAGACCAAATTGGCCTGACCAAGTCCATGATCCTTTAAATATTATATAACCATCCGAAAACCTAAAAGTCTTTGAAATAAATCTCGTCTAATTTTTTTAATTTTCTCTTGATTACTAAAGTAATGAAAAATTGAAAACTCGTTACGGAGAGTCATCGCTTCTAAATATCTCGAAAACTTGTAGTATTATTGAAAAATGATATATGGACGTCAGATACTAAATTGAATAACCTTTCACTTGATATATCGCCTAGTTTATAACAATTAAAGCATTCCCTAGATATTACGAGCCAAAGTTTAATTTTCCAAATTCATAAACTTTGAATCAATTTGGCGAGCGAAAGATATGTTTCAAATTAATCGTTCGTGTCCAATAATTGTTGGCTTAGACCTACGACAACATAATATTACTATTACAGTACGATCAAACGCCTTTTATTTTCCCCCATACAAAATTGACCCAACCTAATGCACATGCATATTAAATAAGAATTAAATCACTTTTACCTTCATGGGAAATAACCCACAAAAACCACAACTGAGAGTAGTCGAAATGCTGACTTTTTCGTTATAAGCGCCATAGCCGATATCTCGCCATAAGCAATATCTTTAGAAGTGATTAAAATTCAACTATCTATACATAGTATAAAGGAAAGTCGAGATTCTTTGTACGCGGTAATCTCGAAAACTACTGAACGGATTTCGACGAGATTTTCTCTAATATATTCTGTATCGATAGGAGAGTGACCTTCTTAATTTTAATAGGGTTGCCACATGTTAAGAAAACTACTATATTCAATTCTAATAAGCGTAGGCGTCAGTTCTGCATCGTCACTGTCAAATGAAAAGACAGCCTCTGGATGTGTAATAATGTATTATTTTTCTGAGTAGGGTTGCCACCTGTTTAAAAACTGTAAGATCTTCACCGTTCGTTGGATACAAAATGAGATACCAAATGAAAGTGCGTGGCCTTTGCATGAAAAAAAACTTTAAGTTTTTTGAGTAGGGTTGCCAGCTATTTAAAATTGCTATCTTCTATACATAGTATAAAGGAAAGGCGAGATATTTTAACCACGCTACTGAGCGGATTTAGACAAGATTTTGTATGTATATAATAAACGAAGTACATGATGACATATGATTGCTTTCTCCAAATACGTAAATGTACATTCATATGCATACATTCTGCCCGTGGCGAAGCCTCGCGCATCCATGGCCGGCTAGTTTTATAAAAACATCAGCCGGGACCTAAACTTTTGTTCGCTATAACCGATACATTCATGGAACTACGAGCGATCCATTCTTCTTCACTAGGGTTGCCAGATTTTTTATGCGCGAAATCAGTGCGTTAGACTTTTTCATGCTAAAAAATGTACTGAACATTTTTATTCAAAGCAAAATTATGAATGTAAGTAACAGAAAATACTTTAATACGCCAGATTTCTTGTTTTTAACAATATTTTGGTATATAAATAAAATATA